TGTTACCATGGATCTCCTTTAATTTTTTTTACATATGTTGGTAATATTATTTGAATACTGTATGGTACAGATGTAGAAGTGTTTTAAACTTGGCGAAGGCGTCATCTCGATTTGTGTTGAATTAAGAAATAAAACTGCAGATTTCTATGCTACTTTATAATAATACTTTCAACAATGATTTTTGGAAATACTGAAAATTAACAATGTTTAATAAAAACAAATTAAAATCTTCACAACAGTGAAAACGGAAAGCGGATACGCACTTAGATACATAATTGTTGTTATGACGAGAACTACCGGTACGCAAGTCTTCAGAGTATAAAAGCACCGGTACACAATACTAGCTCATTTCAAGCACTGGCTAATGTAATTGTTACAATAATTACCGATGACGTTTTTAGGTTTTATTCTGTTGTGTTAAATATAGGCCAATGCGATATATTTGCCGTAATTGACGGTGTTTCATGAACTTTTCCACAATTATCTTGGTGCGTAAATTATTTTATGGTGCACCTTTTCCAGAACACTAGTTTTGCACTCGCTGCACCCCCGTATAACCTATTTTTGTATACACTATACGTGTCATTGTTCTTACTCTATTACTTAGAAGTAGTATTTGTACTGTAATTTTTTTTAAATCTCTTTATTTTTAAATTTGTACTTCCAGATATAATTTGCATGTTGCTATAGTAATAGTTGCGTGCCCCACGGTTATAAGTATATTTTTACTGTTTATTTATTTATTTTAATTTTTCAGAGAAGTTTGAAAACGGGATATCTTTCAACTTCTCATTGTGGGCATGGCGTGACCTAGCAGATATGAAATCACGCTCCGCACTTAGGAGCCAGAGATTCATTCTAAAACTGACTGTCAAATCTCGCCAATCAATTAGCGTAGCCTAAAAGTTGGCTGAGGGTGCTGTTTTTTTTTCTAGTTCATCACTGGTAAATTAGGGACGGCTAGAGCAGATAGTCCTCGAGTAGCTTCGCGCGAAATTCAAACCAACCGTTCATGCTTAGCATCTGACTGGTTAATTGATAGCTCATTATGTAGCTTTGTGCTTAAAATCAAAAATAACTATTTTGATTACTTGGATATTTAGAATAATTGAAAATGGCAATCTGAAATTGAATTTTGATTGGTTGATTATTTTTCTGATAATACAACAAAAAATATTAATAACTATATAATAACTATTTAATAACAATATATATATTTATTTATTTATTGATGAATCTTGTAAGGATTGAATATAACTAACTAAACAAAGTGTATCTTCCTGAAATCTGACAAGCTTTTAGTAAACATTACAAGATTTTTTAATGTTGCTTTTTCTATTGAGATTTGTTTGTGCATTAAACATTACAAATGGACAAAACTTAAGATACTGTGAATAATGCAACAACAATGTAACAAGGGTTACCTAGGATTCGGTAACAGTGCAAACAAAATAACAATTCCAGAGAGTGAGAAAGAGGTCAACGCTGAATCTGACCCTCCCTTGTTTAAAACATGGACCGAATCCCCGATGAAGATGAAGAGAATTAGTATGTTAGAAACAAAATAAAAACGATTGCAAGAAGATAACTGGGATAATTTTTTTGTTCAACGCTGAATGAACACACATACCCTAAACTGTTGGTCACATCTGTAAACTATTCACAAATAATCAAAATAGGTATAAAATATATCCAACCTTACACCGTGAAAAGAAAATAGCATATGAAAATGAACAAAAAGCTGAAGTCTTTAAAGAACAATTGAACCAGACATGGAAACGCACTGTTTTAACACAGTTAACGAATATACAGAATAAAATAAACAAATATAAACACCATATTTCCGAGTAACTACAATAAATCCACAAAATATAAACAATAACTATTATGAAAGTAAAATAATAGACTATAACAAAATCATAAGTAATTATATCTGTAAATCAAACTTAAAAATAAAGCTCCAGGAGAATGTGGAATACAAGCTTTTCTCCTATAAAAAAGGGTAGTCGGAAATTGTTTGACCACTTAAACAGCTTTATATAATTTATCCCAACCTTTTGAAAGCAGGCAAATGTTCTTATGTTTCTAAAGGAAGGCAAACAAGCAAATAAACCAGGTAGCCGTCGACTAGTCAGTCTGACTAGTGTTGTTGACAAAATTTCAATAAGACTTAATAACAGGATCTCTACTTTCTTCGAGATCACCTCAAAATTACCCTAAGTTCAAAATGGTTTCAGGAAATGTTGGCAAACTACAGATCATTTGGTTAGGTTAACTGAAATCACAAGAGTTAAAAATAAAAAAAAAAACCAACAACAATAAAATAAAAAAAAAATGACGCCTGCTTTCTTGATATAGAGAGAATTCGACACTGCATGTCATAACAGTTTAATATATAAATTAAAATAATGAGAATTATCAACAGGTATTATTCGCTGGTTGTCTAACTTCTTAGAAAATGCAGAATAAACGTAGAAGGCACCTACTTTACTTTTGAGGCAAGTGTTCCACAGGGACGGGGTAGTTACTTTCTACTAGTTATATCGGAAAAATATTGATATGATAAAAACATCGTGATTACCTCACGTCGTAGGTTGATTCCTGTATTTTTTCACAATATTTAATAGATATTTTTTTTGCTGTAATAAAATCTTGTATGAAAACTTGGCACAAAGCATATTTCTTTCCATTTATTTAGATGGCCCATCTAGTGCAGTATTACGAGAAGTGCAGTTACCAATATGGGGACACGAGCCCTGCAGGCAGGCCTACGAGAAGGATTTAAATATTACAAACGTGTATATGTGTGCTGGGTATGCAGATGGCGGTAAAGATGCTTGCCAGGTGAGTTTGATTTTAAACTACAAAAAACTTTCAATTTCTATTATTTTTTTCTAAGAGACAAATATTTTGACCATTGCACATTATATATAAACAACAGAAAATAAATACTTTCATAAACCACAACACTTAAGACTTTTTACATACCTTAGACTGTTATTTTTTAATAATTGCCAAGGTAACTTCTCGATGCTAGTATTTTTGGAACACTTTCAAGTAAATACTCCCCTTTTTTTTTTTTACTAATCCAGTCTATGTTCAGTGGTAACTTAGCATATAGTATTCTAATGTACTTATCTTCTTTAGTCAGAAAAATAAGAATGCCACGTAATCAACTTTTCTAATATTACAGGGTGATTCTGGAGGTCCAATGATGTTGCCTGATAAAAGCGGGAACTTTTATCTCGTTGGAATTGTGTCTTTCGGAAAGAAATGCGCGTTGCCTGGATTTCCTGGGGTTTACACAAAAGTGACCGAGTTTTTAGATTGGATTGCAGTAAATATGGTGTAGACTAAAGCTGCGAATGTCTTCATTTCGAATATTTAACACATACTTACCAATAGCAGAGCAACTTAAAATTAAACAGAGGACAGAACGATCTTTTAATGAAATTTGGCGAACCTTTTTTCTTAAATATTTGTACCGTGTATTTTATTAAAAAAAAGTAAGACAGTCGAATAAATCATTAACAAAATCTGAATTATCTAGATTAAGCGGACATGTTTTACTTTTTTCCGTCATCAATGAACATCAGTGTCGATTAGAATCTTTCATACCTTTCTTTCGTGATTTAATTTTCTTAATTTCGTCAAACATAATTGTTAAAAATAAATTAACTTTAGTTTTGTTACTATTCAATGTTTCTCTTTCTAGCGATGTGTGAATAATTGAAACCTATAATAACTGCCAACTTGGTTACCTCAGTGCTTCTCAACCTTTTCCCTTTTCATTTGGCCCCCCAGTGGCACAGCGGTATGTCTGCGGACTTACAACGCTAGAAACCGGGTTTCGATACCCGTGGTGGGCTGAGCACAGATAGCCCTTGTGTAGCTTTGTGCATAATTAAAAACAAACCCTTATCATTCACACCTAAAAGTTTTTCACAACAGTCCATTCACCTCAGTTCGAAAAAAGACGGTACTAAATTTAAATGCAAAATTCTTTATTATGACTTAAATATACACCAAACTACAATAAATAATAATAATGATTTTTTTGCTCTTGAATTTCTTGTATAATTGATCGTATTCGCTCACTCCGATTCTGATCTCATTAACCCTTGGGTGAACCATTCACCCAGTTGAGAAGCATTGACTTTCCTTCCCAATACTGACTGATCAATTATTGATAAACGAATTTCTCTTCTACCTGAGTGACTATCTTCGAAACCCATGGTTTATCTTTTTTTTTTCCATAATAGTTTAGAGTAACTTCTATGCGCTTCACAACATTTATTAGTTCTACTCTTGCATATTATGAAAATAAAATTCTTGATGTTATATCAATGACTATATGATTTATTTAAAGTATATTACGCATATTTCGAGTGATTTACTAAAACATGCCATTAAATACACTACGTTCATATACAACTGTACGCTTATCTGTAACCCATTCAACATACACTGAGTGGTCACAAGTAAATAGACACCTAATTTTTCGTCATTTAACTGATTTATGC